TTCCCTTGCTAAGTCCTTCACACGAAAAGAGGAAGGAGCCCGTATCGTATACGACTCGGTGAGCATGGAAGAAGGTCTTGACGTTCAAGCTTTCTTCTTTCGAGTGCCTACCTCCAGCAACATCGCCGATGGCCCCAGTCGGGGGGACTTCTCCCTTATAGAGAAAATGGGGGGAAGACGTGTGCAGCTTCCCGTGGGAGCCCTGGAGGCAGCACTCGGCCTCTAGCTATAAAAGATGGGGTCAGCGTGAGAGGCTCTAATAAGGGGGCCATGTGTCTCACGTGTCTCACGCTTAGTAAGCGACAGATCCGTGCAGGATCAGCTGCCGTGCAGCCTGACTTTTGCCCCACCTTTCACCGCTAGAAGCAAAAAGTGAGAGTCCGTGACTTTTTGCCCTTAACAGTAACTAAGCGTGAATGACGTAGGCAACGTTTGCCACAGCCTCATAGCCTGGAAACGGATGTTTTGCAAAGGGTTGCCATGCAAACATGCTGTGCCGTAGTCATCTCAGCTCTCAAGCTTGTAGTTTTTGTGCCCACCCACCACACCCTGGAACGTTTCCAGAAAGGAACCGTGTTCAGGCACACAGGTGCCTTGTTGAGCCACGTAGGCTACATGAACTCTCCATGTTCGCGTAGGCCTAGTAGCTTGTCAACGACAGTTGCCTGTTTGCGTAGTTTTGGATTGTACATATCTGTGGACCCTAGTAGGGTACCTCGTAGGATAGACACATCCCTAAAGGGGGCCATGTGTCTCACGTGTCTCACGCTTAGTAAGCGACAGATCCGTGCAAGATCAGCTGCCGTGCAGCCTGACTTTTGCCCCACCTTTCACCGCTAGAAGCAAAAAGTGAGAGTCCGTGACTTTTTGCCCTTACCAGTAATTAAGCGTGGCAATAAGGGAAATAAGAGAACCCAACACCAAGGTCCTCCAGTGAAGACCAATACTTACAGATTCATATCATGTTGTTTAACTGACCTTGCACCGTTGAAAAGGTAAAAGCTTTACAGACAAAATTGATTGTTGCGTCCTTCAGCAATTAATGTTCATTCAAGACTGTCCGCCAGGCACTAAGCAGATAATTACCCATGGCTAACTTTGAAACATGCGTCTGTACACAAGTGTCCAAAATTCAAATTTACGTTTCTGAGATATCAGTCTTGGTGCGGCTACTATCCCAAGCCTGCGTGCTAGTTCTCGGACCAAATGTCTTTTTTCTGAATTACCATGATTGTGTCAGGATTTTGCACACTGAGCAGTTGGAGGCACGAGGTTTATCTACAGGCAAAAGGAACCGGAAAGAATGTCTTTGGGATCCCGGGGTCAGGCAAGCACAGGGGCCGCAAAGGCTTCGAACTTGATTACAAATTGAAACATTGGCTTGCAAAGTGCTAGCTAAACATGCAAAGCCTTACGAAGCCGAGTGCCTGCGACGCCGGCCAGGCCTGCACGTTCGGATGGACGGAGGAGCAATCGTGAAAGCCTTCATTTATGTCGGCTGAAGTGTTAAAGTCCCGGTCCTCACCCGAACACCGGTGGCAGCGTTTTCTACAGGTTTTGGGAGGGCGGTTTTCAAAAATCAATCAGGCCGTAAAGACATATGCAGGTTGTGTACGTGTAGGTTATGTGGTTGACGCCTGGAGGTTGCGAAGCCGGCTAGGGAAACATGATTCCCAACACGTTGACAGGTTCCCTGCCTCGCAGCCCTGGTGCCGTTCTAGTTTCTTTGCAAAATCTGATGTCGCAGTTGTCGCATGGTGGTTTCGCAGACTGCGGGACGCGATGCCGACAGTTTGGCTCTGCGTTTTGCACGACGACAGTGCTTGACAATGCTTACCAACAAATATCAAAGTTGCCTAAAATCGGTGTTCCAGCTTTAGGCCTGCATATTATTTTCGTGCGGTTTGAAAACATGTACTGCGGTATTCAGAACAATTCTACAGCGCCATGATTACGTGATTGTTGACTCGCAGCAAGTTTGATAAGTATGGAGGTTAGTTGCAGGATTCTGATAATACATGAACATGCATGTGTCACATTCGTGCCATGTTGCCTCATGCGCCACAGCGTCCAGCTCAGCGAGGACTGCGGTTTCGTTGAACGCTTGGCTGCGCAGATCAGAGGCATGTTTTGCATCATGCATTTGAGATAGGTTTCCTTTGCAAGTCTTGTCAGCTGGCAGAAACTTTGACGAGGTGGATACATCTTGCAGGCACGCAGCATCAACGAGAACAAGGACACTTGCATTGTGACGCTGCGCAGGGCCCGTTGCGCTTTCAGGGCCCACCTCGGGAACATGTTTCAATCTCGCGAAGTTTGCAACCTCATTTGGACCGGTGCACAGACTGAAGTTGGCAGTTCTGATTCGATGCCCAGATTTACTGTGTAAATTGTCAAAAACGTTGTGTTGGTTAGTGTCCTTGACGTCCAAAAGATCAGCGCATGTAAGGTTTCAACGGCAACCGAAGATTGCAACGACTTTGCTCTCACAGTTGGCCAAATCAGCCCCGCTGTTGGTGGTTGAGGCGTACTTGCGTTTCGAAGTTATGCTGCTAAGCACAACATGTGGAAGAGTCAGTCACGTCCGTATCGCAATGTGAGAAAGTTTTGGGGATGAGTGCGGCATCTAGTTTCACCTGACTGAAGGTGTTGGCAGTGCTTCGCAAGGGCAGTGTTCGACAAAACGATTCCCGATTGCACAAGTCGTGCTTGTATTTAAAACCAAACCTCGTGTTGGCAGTGCTGCGAAGGTGTTCCACTGCTCCTCTGTGATTTCGGCCTATGACAAGGACTCAGAAGCCAAACAAGTGATGGTTGTTGTTTACCTGCAAGCAAGGGCTTTGCAAACAGAATCTGATCCACGCCCTATTGTCCTGCAAGATGTAGATTTGATCCAGCATTGTTGGGGCGGATGTCAAGATTCCAAAGTTGTGAAGGCCGGTGAGTGGGCGCATGCGCTGGCCTGGCTTTGGAGCTTTACTGCCGCAAACATTCAGCCGAATCAGGCCAGATGCCCGAATCTGTAAATTACTTTGATGGAAAGTCACGAAGGCATGTTACAATGCCGCCATCAACGCTTGCAGGAAGGACCGCTGCATGGCCTTTGCATGTGTATGGTGTGACAAGGCTAGGGGCATTTGTGCCGCGTAGGACTGGCAGCAAGCCCTGCGCTTGCTGTTGGCAATCCAAGCTTCAGGTCTCCGCTTAACCAGGCCGGTGCATGGCATGTGATTCGAAAAAGTTGTGGAAGCTTCAAGGACAAGCTGCAACTCGCTTTTGAAAGCCTGCGCTTCTTTGAATGGCAATGGCAAGTGGTCCTTTGCAATGACACAACTGGCTGAGTTTGCACAATGCGAGGTGCGTCGGGAAGGATTAAACGTTTTCGTTGAAATTTGAAGCTGCTGTTGGCGGCATGGTCCGTGTGCTTGTCTTTTCCAGGTGCTGTGCGACTCCTACACGTTGACGGCTGTTGGTGCAGCTTGTTCTCCAAGAGCCTCGCATTGTGAACGGCAGTGGCAGCATGCATGCGCCTTGCACAGTCGTTGCAAAGGCGTGATGGGCCGGAATAAGCAAGTTACTAACCAGCCAGAGTATTGCTGTCCACTGCGCAAGTAGGAGTTCATTTCCGCAGGACAGGCAAACAGCTTCTCCCACAACAGTCTACTTCGCACATGCGAGAAATCTGATTGTTGGGAGTTGGTTCTGGCAGCTTGGAGTGATCATGCACAAGGGGGACTCTTAAGCATGAGTATGGACATGCACCATTGAAGAACATGGACCGCAGCTGCCTTCAAGGACATGGTTACGGACCCATGCAAGCCATCTCCAACTGAAGTCAGCCTCCGCACAGCGTTGATGGCACATGGACACTGGCAGGGTAGTCTACACATCTTCAAATCGATGGCCGGAAGACTAAGACAACAGCTCTGGCTTTGAAGCAGCGATTTGTTTGAACGACTCGCCTGCTATAGTGTTGTTCTGCGAGGTCATGTTTCGCTTGAGCCAAGATGTTTCAAGTTTCAACGGTGTTGGAGCTGCGCTCCAACGCAACCTCCTTTGGTCAGAAGCGTGCCGCAGTCAGTTGTGTGAGCGATGGGGCTTTTGCATGCTGTTGGATGGGCTGGACGCCTACACTGTGGAAAGCCGTCGCAGGTTGTTGCTTGCAATCGATTTCAGCCGAGCTGCGGCTTTAGTGCCGGATGAAGTGAGCAACGGGCCAACACTGGGGACAACACTTTTCGGCTCATGTTTTTTCTAGGGTAAGGACATGTGAGGCATTGTGAGCCAAATGTGCCCTGTGGTCCTGATGCGAGGTATTTTGACTTCCGTCACGTCAAGCAGATCTGACTGGAAAAAGGCTTCCTTGCTCCTAGGCTCCAAGTTCTCCGTGGAGTTCTATATCAATGTGTGCAATGCCGTCATCGATACACTTCGAGAGGCGCTGATACATGAAGCTCAAAAATGCACCTGTTGACATTGGATTTGATGCATTCTCGTCGCTGATGTGCTTAAAGGCTGCTTCAGGCTCGTAGCTCGCATACGGTAAACCAGCAACACATTGGCTCGCGGTCTTTGTACCACCCATGCGCAGCAGATCTCGGGTAGCCGGCCGTACTAGCCAGCATTAGCTTGTGGTAGGTGATTTGCTGCAGGGCCAACCGCCTTACTTCCGAAGGACCCCACTTGCCGAGGATGGCATCCAGATGATCTTGCCATGCGCAGACCAGAGCTCTTCAATCTGACTGGGCAGCGTTGCAATGTGTGAATCGATTGCGGGCGTGTATGCGATCAGGGCGCAGCTTCTCAGATGTCCAACTGACGCATGCCCTGGTTGAATGCCACGACAAATGGCATTTGGCCAGCAGCGTGCTGAAGTCCGCAGCTGCGAGAAGTCTTGTGCCGAATCAGTCCAGCCAGAACCCAAGCGCTCGCACAGTGCCTTACATCATACATCTCTCAAGCTGAGTGGATCTGAAGTCTTCTGGGCGTGATCATGCAAGGCTTCAACGCGTGCATGGGCAGCATGCGCAAAGCCAGCCGATGGAGGAGGGCTCATCTGTTGTTGACGCAGTTTGAGATGGCATCCTTGCAAACAGATGCTTAGCTGAATGCATGGGCTCTACGTGGTTGCCGTGGCTTGCTCTCCTGTTTTGCCAAGGACTTGAGGAGTTTCAGCGTGGCGAGCAGCGCGTGTTCTAGGAGCAGGCATTGGCAGCAGGCGCTTGGAACGAAGAACTGCCACGGTTTGTTGCAATTTTCACACCCAGAAAAGCGACGAGGCTGTAGAGCTGGTGACTCGGCAGATGCATTCCGGCCTGCAACCTGACAGAGTCTCCTTCGCTCTTTGGCTCAACCAATGCTGTTGTGCAACCTTCAACATCAACTGGGACCGGAGTGCGTTTGAGGCTGCCTCTGCTTGCTCGACTTCCGACTGGATGCGGACAATCCATGTCTTCCATCAGATGGCATCCATGCAAGTAAGGCTGGATGTGGCGAACGGCAACACTGCCCTCAACTCATGCGAAAAGGCTGCAGCCTGGATCACTGGGCTGGCATTGCTGCAGCATCTGCCGCAAGCCGCAACTTCAGCTGATGCTGTCACATTCAACAGTGCTGTCAGTGCTTGCCGTGGTCGCCTGAACCTCAGAGAGCGTTGTGATGTGACGTCATTCTCAAGGCTTGTCTTTCCCGTGCTGCAGTCATCTTGAGGCACCCTGACAGATAAAGCTTAGGAAGTTGGTCTCGAACGGAAAGACTGTTGAAGAACATGATGGAACAGTATCTGCTTCCAGATGAAGTCAGCCTCAACGCATGTCTGAGTGCATGTGCGCCTGCTGGATTGTGGACCTGCAGCCTGCAGCTCACCGATGCAATGTCTGGCTGGCGGCTGCATCCAGACGCTTGGTACTGCAAATAAGGTCGGGACCCTTTATAAAAGGTATCCTTCAGCAGGGCTTGGGTGACCAGCATGGCTTTGCAGGATGCATACTCGCGCAGCTCTCTAATTGGCGCCTGCAGAGATGAGTGGCAGACGGCTCTCTATAGCTTGGGCAGCTCTGCGACGAACAACCTTGTTTGAGCCTTGCCTGCCGCTAAATAAATGATGCACTCCTGATTTGCAAGATTGCTGATCCAGGTTACAATGCAGCAATCACCGCACTAGGCCGGGCACTTCAGTCGGAACGAGCTGTGGAACTGCTTCGCACGGTGAGCTCATGCAAGCTGAAAGTGGATCTACTTAGCTTCAGCTCAGCAATTTCTGCGTGCCAACGTCTGGCTAAATGGCGCCCAGCAGTCTACCTTTTCAAGAGCCTACGAGATGATTCGATTGCAGCGGACAGTATTTGTTGCCGCACGGCAACTTGGCTGCGACTTTGACTTCTGAGGACCAACTTTGTGGAAATCATGCCAGAGGGTTTGTCAGTGGAGGTGGTTGTCTTGCAGGTTATCTTGATGTTTGATGGATAGGATTGTGTAAGGTTTGGTTGATAGGCTGATGGTTCGATGTTTGATTGATATGCTGCCGTGAGGTTTGTTTGATGGTTTGGTTGTTGGGTTGATGTGAATTGATTGTTAGAGATAACGTTGA